AGACCAAAGAGGTTTTGATTACACATATAAGGCGTCGACTTATGCCTCAAGCGGTTAAAGTGAGGGCCGATATAGAGGTGGGCTGTTGTGCCTATGAGGGCATCGATGCCGTCAAAAACGCGTTGAGAGCCGGAATTGCCTGTTCTCTGGAAGACATGGCCATCAAAATCAATTTAATCGCTCCGCCATTATATGTGGTGACGACCACTACTATGGATAGAGAGAGGGGTTTAGAATTGTTGACCGAAGCGCTCGCGAAGATCGAGGACTCGATCAAGAAAGCCGGCGGAATGTTCATCGTTCAGGCGGCTGTATATATGACTGCACTTATGTTATGCATTGCATTGCATTTAACACTCGTTTTCATTCATTCATTGATTAGCCGAAAGTTGTGACCGATTTAGACGAAGCAGAGTTGGCGAAGAAAATGGAACAATTGGATCAGGAAAACAGGGAAGTGTCCGGCGATGACGACGACGAAGACGACGACGAGAACGAAGACAACGAAGACGAACCAAAAGCAGAGACCGAAGCCGTTGTCGTCGACGCAAAGGATTAGTTTTATGTTATTTTACCAATTTTTGTCATTTTTGACGATTTCTTTAATATTTTTTCTACCATTAAATTAAATAAATTTTGCGCTCAAAATGTTGTCTGTTTTAAAATCAATACATGAGAGAGAGAGAGAGAGAGAGAGAGAACATTCACAAAAGATGAAATGGTTTAACAAATAACAAATATTTATAAAGTACATGTATTTAAAACTAATTTTTCCATGAGATTTGTATTAAGACTAACCATATGTTAATTAAAATTGGTTCATTAAAATGGGCAACAAATACATAATGAATAGCTTTTGTAAATGACAAATAATATATAATATTTATTGATAGTAAGGCTTAATTTGTTAGGTTTTCAATGTTCTGTCAATATTTGCAAAGGAATGTAAGGTTAGGTTAAGTTTGGTGAAGCAGTTCTCGATCTCTTGAACTCAACAAAGTGTTTGGGAATTGCAATACAAGTGCTGTTCTCTATGTCTGTCACAAGCAATGAATGCCTGAATTCCTCAGTTTGAAAGCCCTATCACTGGAAGCGCTGTATTGGAAGCGAATGTTGCCCTCAAAAGGCAGACAACTTGTTTGCGTTGAAAACTCTGTAAAACTTATGTCAAACTCAGACAGTGTTGTGTTGTATTGAAGGCATTCAACAGTTGTCTAACTCTTAGACCAGTTATGCCTTAAGTTTTTACTCACATTAAGAATGGCTTCCAATCCATAGTTGGACTTAAGTTTGTCTGAAACACACATTTTCTGTTCAATTTGTGGTCACATCTATTGATATGTTATTTCAGACAACTTTTCGCCGCTTTTATCTATTAATGGATTAACGAAAGCAAAGTCTTCTCATTTCAATCAATCAAAGCATTCATCAACTTTTCAATCGATCGCATCTCACAGTCAACTCTTTTACATTGTTTTTTGCATCGATTTTATTGTTTTATTGTTTTAAACGTGAAATTCATATCAATTTTATGATTTCAGACACAAATAACTTATTAATTAAGAAAAGAAATAAGTTTTACATTTTTTCTGCTAATCCGTCAACACATCTATGAATGTGATTATAAGCGTCAAAAGTTTTGTGTTAATTAATGACAATTATTTAGTAAATGGATAACAAGTTATGACTGAATGAGCGGTTGATCTCAAAGTGATAATAATATGAAGAAAGTGTCGAAATTAATGTCATTTAATTGTATGACATGTTTGAAGACATTTAATCAATTTTTATACATAGTATTAATTCAATACATTTCAATAACAATTACTTCAATCGGTGAGCATTTCATTGAGTCATTTAATAGCTTTATTTAAATATTGTTTGAATTTCTATAAAATATTTTTATTTGGAGAAAACATCAAAATATTAACTAACATTTGAATGTATTTTTGGTTTAAGGAAACAATTTTCGACAATTTAAGCAATACTTAAGTAGTGTTTAATTGTCATTGTGTTTGAAAACGTCTAACTTTTCTCTCATAAAAGCTTTTCTCAAAACAATAAAAGAGTTTAACATTTAAGGCAAATGTTTGAATACATAGGAAAAAAGAGTTTCCTATTTAATTGAAATGAAAATCTTTTTTATTGAACATTTTCTCAATGATTGTTAATTTCATTATATATTTTTGATTAACTCTTAGATATATAAGTAAAAAATAAAAGTAAGTTTGTTTTTGTTTAAAAATGCCAATTTGACAGTTAAATGTGAAAATATAAATAATTAGTAAAATATTTAAATGTTGATAATATGATCATTTGGGAAATCATTCATTCATTCATTAGTTAGAAAAAACATTACAGATCTTTGATTTCAAAAATTGTTGACTAAATACTTGAACGAAACATGAATTTTATGTTAATGTTTGTCACAATTTTACTACAACTTAAGGAAAGTATGTCTTCCACTCCAACACAAACTTCTTTCTAAAAAAGTATTAATTGTATAATTAATTGAAACACTTATGCGCCCATATATACACATACATGGGCTCTACATATGGTTTACAATGCAATTGTGTCTCTTTTAGAATTATACCCAAAAATTTTATAAACTTTTTATTTGAGTTCGTTTTCAATAATAATTTCTTTAATTATTCCTAATTATATGTATGGATAATAAACAATAACTTCTTTGAAGCTATCAATATCTGTAGTCTTTGTGATATAAAAAGTTTTCAATCGCAACTTTTTTTGTAACCTTTTTGTCGTTTTATACATTTTGAAGTTTTAGTTTAGTTTCCATTAATTTTTTGTTGACATTTTTCTATGAGTTGTACGAAAATGAATTTAATCCATAATAGCGTGTAGACGAGTACACTATGTCTATAATATAATGACAATACAGTTTGCTATTGTTTTCACTCGAACTGTTCATATCCACCACCTGTTCAGTTATGCCTCAACTGTCAGCCCTTCCGGCAATCAATGGCCAGTCTTCTCATATCCTATCCTATCCTATATATCGTTCATAACTCTCACTCCTTACCACTCTTGTGGTGAAACTCTATGATAGCTATAATAATTACAACAATTCCATAATTAATGCAAAACAGCGAATATATAATTCATTTCAATGCAAAGTACCGAACATTTAATTAGATATTGTATTTCTTTTATGATTTATGGCATAACTTTATAATTTAAATATAATATGCAATTACTTTTTATTTGTGTCTTTAATGTTAATGCATTTGAATTTGCATTACTATTATTTTTAATATTATTATTATTATTATGAAAGCAAACTATAGTGTGATTGTATTGAAAAGATACCGAAATTCTTGAGATCTTATCGGAGATAATATAGAGAAAACTTATTTATTCAAAATAAACTTTTATTACTTATTATTTCTATTGAATTTTAATAAATATAATTTGAAAGACAAAAAATTGTTGGTATTTTGAATTATAGCCAAAAATAATTATAAGTTATAGATTTTAACTTAAAGCTAGAGATTAGTTTACAATAGCTTTAAACAATTTTAATAATTGTCTACTTTTTATAAGTTATACAATTTAATATGTATTTATAATAATACGTTTGGTAGTAATCACAATCATTTCTGTTCATTTATATTGTCGAAAGTAATGTATGACTTCATAATACTAATTATTAACTGAAATTTCTATTGAAAATAAATGTTTTGATTATTTTAAAGCCGGTTATTATTACATAAATGGTATTTCTCGAGGGAATAGGTTCTGATTTTCATAATCATTGGTAGGACTAGACGGTGACAAATGGACTTCTTTGCCAATTCTTCAATATTTTATTGTCTGCCAATAGTTATGGACTTAAATTGGGTTTCTATTTGAGAAAAAATATGTTTCCCTAGAATACGAATAAATTATTTTAATTAATATTAGTTTATTGTAATGTTTATTAATGTGTATATTAAATGTGTTGAAAATTTGCATTATTTTCGTTGGGGATAAACAGATCTGAATATTAATACATTCGTGAAAAACCCTGAATTAAAAATAAGGATAAATAAGCTAAAAGAAAATGTTATTTTTAACGATTTTAAGCATTAATTTCATGTTTTTATTCAAAAGAAAACTAAAATACGGATTTGGAAATACGTTTGGTAGTAATCACAATCATTTCTGTTCATTTATATTGTCGAAAGTAATGTATGACTTCATAATACTAATTATTAACTGAAATTTCTATTGAAAATAAATGTTTTGATTATTTTAAAGCCAATTATTATTACATAAATGGTATTTCTTGAGGGAATAGGTTCTGATTTTCATAATCATTGGTAGGACTAGACGGTGACAAACGGACTTCTTTGCCAATTCTCCAATATTTTATTGTCTGCCAATAGTTATGCACTTAAATTGGGTTTCTATTTGAGAAAAAAAAATGTTTCCCTAGAATACGAATAAATTATTTTAATTAATATTAGTTTATTGTAATGTTTATTAATGTGTATATTAAATGTGTTGAAAATTTGCATTATTTTTTTGGGGATAAACAGATCTGAATATATAATACATTCGTGAAAAACCCTGAATTAAAAATAAGGATAAATAAGCTAAAAGAAAATGTTATTTTTAACGATTTTAAGCATTAATTTCATGTTTTTATTCAAAAGAAAACTAAAATACGGATTTGGTGTTTGAATGTATGTATGATTTTATTTTGTAGGAAATGTTTTGAATATAAAAAATATAGATAACATTTATCTACATATTAGTCGAAGCCAAAGGTTTTCCTGTATTTTTAATATAATGTTTTTAATACATTATTATATTTTTATTTTCCGATTCCTTTCAATTGTAACACAAACTGAATCTCTGTTTAAAAGAGATATCGAGATTAGTTATAACCGAAAAGCTTTTAACTCTATGTTTTGCTATTTAGAGAATATTGTCCTGAATTTGAATTAGATCTGAGAAACACATCTCAAAACATATATGTGTTTATGTTTGGGAATATATCTCACATTTAAAGCAAATATTTTGTTGAATTTTTGTGTATTGAAAACGATTATTGATTATAAACATGAAAATAACTTAAGATATAACTGTATCTGAGTGTTGATCACAATTACATTTTAGGGTCACTTAACATAAGGCACACACAATCATACGCTAAACAAAGAGCACTTCATAATATATTTGGGATTGGGTTTGCATTAAGTAATAAATTATTATAAAATCTAAACGTCTGACCACTTGTGAGATAAACACATTGAAGATTCACAACAATTGAGAGATAAGACATTGTTTTGAATCTGAATTTTAATTAAAGTCAAAGCATCGCTAAAATTTAAAGACGCGATTAGTTTGTATATCAAAGCCTTTGTTAAACTTAATTGTGATTCATATGATTAGTTAAGTTTTGTTCCTTTAATTTACAATTTTTATTATAACTTCAATTGATTACAACTATAACGGAGTATTCATTTGGTTTCCGGCGATAACTTTGAAAATTATAACTTGTATTAACAAAAGTATTCATTGTTTTGCATAGTTTTTTTGTGAAATACTGTACACTATTGTAGTGCAAGAGTTGTTCCGCAAGTTTTATACAACTATTATAACCATTGTTTTGACAATAAATTGTATACTAAAATTTTAATGCTCTGATAATTTAGAAAATATACTGTATATTGTTTTCAATTTGACTGCATTTTTCATATTTTCATTAAATACTTGGAGAAAATAGACATTTATAATGCAAACTAAACTGTCAGCCATTATATCACAGGTATATTGGGTCCAAAACCCAGGCATTTGCTGAGAAAAGTTGCTTAAAATGTTGTTATAATGTTATGCAGAAATTTCTCTCTCTCTCTCTCGCTCTCTCTCTCCCTCTCCTTCTTGAGTCCTCCCCTCCCATCTTCTCAGTGCTCTCTTCTTAGCCGAAACCTGAGGGCATCGTTGAAGACGAAGACATTGCACTTGAAATCAAATATTTGAATAAAACATACATTGAATGGAAGAGAAATAGTGTAGAAATGAGATGAAAGACTTGAAAGGAACACAAACACTGATCTAAAC